TGCCGCAGAACGCTGCCTTTGGCGCGTTCTTATGGCTTCCCATGCGGTTCCCTATAGCGCTGCCTTTACCTTTGTGGAAGATAGGAGCCACATTGGGGAGGAGAGAAGAAAAAAAAAATTCACACTTTATCCTTGACAGGATACATTTTGAGATATCAAAAAAACCTCTACACAAGAAAAGCACATGTAACACGAGACAGACATTTCAGCAGAGGGTCTCATCGGAGGCGGAGTTGCATGAAGTCGATCGGCCATTGAGACATTAGTTGTGTGTGTATGATGAGTTTGTTCAATTTGTCCGTGAACGCTGACCACAGGCCATTGTCCTTGATGAGATGGAGGTTTATCAACAGTTCTGCCTGAAACCTCTACTGTTTTAGTTTATGGTTGGATGGGGAAAAAAACTACATCAGAAGGTTATCAATTTCTGATTTTTATGTTTTCTTGGCACTGGAGTTGCAGGATTACTGTTACTGACCGCATTCAAGTCTTTATGGCACTGCAGGAAAATGCAACACAAAGTTAAATGATCTCAGCAAGAAGTTCACTGCAGTCCAGTAGTTTCCGCCATCACCAGATCTTAATACCACACAGAAGATTTGGGATGTGATTTTATGGGAGATTACCATCTTGAATCTGCAACTGAAATATGCAGCCACTTTGAGATCTTATCATTGCTATATTGTGATCATTATCGACCAAAATATCAATACCAAAAAGATTTAAGGCAGCTTTAAAGTCATAGGGGAACTTCTGAAAATTCATTGAGAAAGCATTAATAAACTGGAAAACCATTAAAGTGTTAAAAATATTTTTTCTGGATGATAGAAGGAACCAATATGCTGATTAAAACTACTAAGGATATTAGATAAGGTTGCTGAACTAAATGAATATAAAGGATTTATGCATCCAATTTTTAATATCAATTATTAAAATGCAAATTTAACTAATCTTTAACTTTTATTTTAAGTGCTCTTTTAAATTTATTAGACATTTTAGTAGTTTAGGTTTAGACTGGATAACCATAAGAACATATGAGAGAGGAAAGCCTGAGAAATGTTGCCTAGTAGATCCTTTTTTGACCAGCAAAGCACTTTCTATTCATGATACATGTCTTTTTTGTTGCTGAATCAGAAATAGATTTATTTTCAATGACTGGTCACAAAAAAATTGCTTTTAACATTTCATTGGAACAGTTTTGTATTCATGAGAACTATGTCAGCTTCATCTGGAACATGGTGAATCATTAAGTCTACATTGTTCAGGAGCTGCTGTTTTCAAAGCTTTATTTCAACATTGTTTTTCACAATTTTATTTCAAATGGGTGTTTTTTTTTTTAGGTTCTTTCGACAGGACTTGGTGTGAATCATGGGGCGGTAGCAACAAGAGCAAGTTCCTCATTTGAATTAGTTTACAATCTTAAAAGCATGGGAATGAAAGGTCCTTGGTGAGGCTTTCTTTCAAAGCCGAAGCTTAAGCCTGCAGGTCTATTTTCCAAAAAAGACATACTCCTATTTTCTAAGGCCTTTCTCAACTTATACACTGTCTAAACTGCTAATCTTATTATCAACTGACATAAAGGTCCTGGAGGATGATCTGGATGTGAACATTTTAAAAGTAAAACTTAATAGTCAAAAAATAAATTCTGCCTATAAAAACAAACAAAAAAAAGGGAATAAACAAAATAAACTGTAAATTCAACATCTTGGTTACATTAGTAGCAGGTTTGGTGTCCATACAGCAAGCAATTGAGAAGTTAGAGAAGTTTAGATTGAAAAGAATCCAGGCAGACCATTACTGTTCCATTTTGGGAAAGTGCCAGTTTCCCAACAGGCACATGCCACCTCAACTGGCATATACCACTTTTCTGGCACATGCCACCTCAACTGGCATATACGACGTTTCTGGCACATGTCGACTCAACTGGCCTATACCACTTTTCTGGCATATGCCACCTTAACTGGTATATATTTTACTTTTTTGGCATATGCCACCTCATCTGGCATATACCACTTTTTTGGCACATGCCACCTCAACTGGCATATACGGCGTTTCTGGCACATGTCGACTCAACTGGCCTATACCACTTTTCTGGCACATGCCGCCTCAACTGGCATATACCACTTTTCTGGCACATGCCGACTCAACTTTCATATACCACTTTTCTGGCATGTGCCGCCTTAACTGGCATATACCACCTTTCTGGCACATGCCGACTCAACTTTCATATACCACTTTTCTGGCATGTGCCGCCTCAACTGGCATATACCACTTTTCTGGCACATGCCGACTCAACTTTCATATACCACTTTTCTGGCATGTGCCGCCTCAACTGGCATATACCACTTTTCTGGCACATGCCGACTCAACTTTCATATACCACTTTTCTGGCATGTGCCGCCTTAACTGGCATATACCACCTTTCTGGCACATGCCGACTCAACTTTCATATACCACTTTTCTGGCATGTGCCGCCTTAACTGGCATATACCACCTTTCTGGCACATGCCGACTCAACTTTCATATACCACTTTACTGGCATGTGCCGCCTTAACTGGCATATACCACTTTTCTGGCACATGCCGACTCAACTGGCATATACCACTTTTCTGGCACTTGCCGCCTCAACTGGCATATACCACTTTTCTGGCACATGTCGACTCAACTGGCATATACCACTTTACTGGCACATGCCGCCTCAACTGGCATATACCACTTTACTGGCACATGCCGCCTCAACTGGCATATACCACTTTTCTGGCACATGCCGCCTCAACTGGCATATACCACTTTTCTGGCACATGCCGCCTCAACTGGCATATACCACTTTTCTGACACATGTCGACTCAACTGGCATATACCACCTTTCTGGCACATGTTGACTCAACTGGCCTATACCACTTTTCTGGCATATGCCACCTTAACTGGTATATACCACTTTTCTGGCACATGCCGCCTTAAACTGGCATATACCACTTTTCTGGCACATGTCGACTTAAACTGGCATATACCACTTTTCTGGCACGTGCCACCTCAACTGGCATATACCACTTTTCTGGCACATGCCACCTCAACTGGCATATACGACGTTTCTGGCACATGTCGACTCAACTGGCCTATACCACTTTTCTGGCATATGCCACCTTAACTGGTATATATTTTACTTTTTTGGCATATGCCACCTCATCTGGCATATACCACTTTTTTGGCACATGCCACCTCAACTGGCATATACGGCGTTTCTGGCACATGTCGACTCAACTGGCCTATACCACTTTTCTGGCACATGCCGCCTCAACTGGCATATACCACTTTTCTGGCACATGCCGACTCAACTTTCATATACCACTTTTCTGGCATGTGCCGCCTCAACTGGCATATACCACTTTTCTGGCACATGCCGACTCAACTTTCATATACCACTTTTCTGGCATGTGCCGCCTTAACTGGCATATACCACCTTTCTGGCACATGCCGACTCAACTTTCATATACCACTTTTCTGGCATGTGCCGCCTTAACTGGCATATACCACCTTTCTGGCACATGCCGACTCAACTTTCATATACCACTTTACTGGCATGTGCCGCCTTAACTGGCATATACCACTTTTCTGGCACATGCCGACTCAACTGGCATATACCACTTTTCTGGCACTTGCCGCCTCAACTGGCATATACCACTTTTCTGGCACATGCCGACTCAACTGGCATATACCACTTTACTGGCACATGTCGACTCAACTGGCATATACCACCTTTCTGGCACATGTTGACTCAACTGGCATATACCACTTTTCTGGCACATGCCGCCTCAACTGGCATATACCACTTTTCTGGCACATGCCGCCTCAACTGGCATATACCACTTTTCTGGCACATGTCGACTCAACTGGCATATACCACCTTTCTGGCACATGTTGACTCAACTGGCCTATACCACTTTTCTGGCATATGCCACCTTAACTGGTATATACCACTTTTCTGGCACATGCCGCCTTAAACTGGCATATACCACTTTTCTGGCACATGTCGACTTAAACTGGCATATACCACTTTTCTGGCACGTGCCGCCTCAACTGGCATATACCACTTTTCTGGCACATGCCGCCTTAAACTGGCATATACCACTTTTCTGGCACAGGCCGCCTTAAACTGGCATATACCACTTTTCTGGCACATGCCGCCTTAAACTGGCATATACCACTTTTCTGGCACGTGCCGCCTCAACTGGCATATACCACTTTTCTGGCACATGCCGCCTTAAACTGGCATATACCACTTTTCTGGCACGTGACATCTCAACTGGCATATAACACTTTTCTGGCACATGCCGCCTTAAACTGGCATATACCACTTTTCTGGCACATGCCGCCTTAAACTGGCATATACCACTTTTCTGGCACGTGCCGCCTCAACTGGCATATACCACTTTTCTGGCACATGCCGCCTTAAACTGGCATATACCACTTTTCTGGCACGTGCCGCCTCAACTGGCATATACCACTTTTCTGGCATGTGCCGCCTGAACTGGCATATAACACTTTTCTGGCACGTGACATCTCAACCGGCTATATATCAAAATTGGCATGCCAAATACACTTTTGTCTGTCCTGTCAGCGGTCAGTCCTGGATTTCCAGAGGGGTTTGATTTAAGGCCAACAGACAAGTTCCCTGCGATCTAAGGACTTCCAGTCCTTAGATTGCATCAACTACTCAATTCCTTATCTTTTCATGTAGACATGAAAGTTTCTATTTATGAATTTCAAACTTTTTATTTTAATTTTCATTAATCTGTGTTTAATGAAGCTGTTATTGTGATTGTTGCTGAATAGAGCATAATGGGAATAATCATAAATAAATGATCCTCATGATTGGAGGCCAGGATTTATAAAACTTTGAAGTTGTAAGTGAGAGGATCTTCTCACTGATTCAAGAATAATTTTCCAGCAACTGGAAGTTTCCTTTGTCGTTTCTTCATGGTGTAAATTTATTTTCCCAGGATGCAAGGCAGAAGTTTCGTTCAGTGCTGGTGGAGGCCACCGTGAAGTTGGACGAGCTGGTGAAGAAGATTGGGAAACCAGTGGAGGAGTCAAAGCCTTACTGGGAGGCTCGCAGACTGGCTAGACAGGCGAGTCATTTACCTCTAACTGTAATGTTTTTCAGGTATGTCCCTTTCCAAATAACAGGTGTTTACAAAACATTTCTACAGGGGCTTTTACAGGGGACAAAATGAAAGCTGGAATTACCAATGAATTTCATGACATTTTTAAACTACACTTTGTAAATCAAATTTTTAATTTGTTCTAGTCAAAAGGCTATACAGTTAAAGGATTATTATTTTTTTTAGGTGTTTATAGCTTTTTTTTGCAGTTGTTAGTAAACCTGCACATTTTTCACAGCACATGTAAAACCATAACTTTTTTTTCTTGTCTACAGCCTGTAAAGTTGTTTTGTAGTTCTTGCATTTTGTTTCACTTGAGTAAAGATCTGTCGTTAGCGTCGACTTGCGGCCTTTCCTTGCTCTGTATTTAGCTAATGCTGCTCAAGTTAATATTTGTCAAAGATAAAGGTCCAATTTGTCTGTTTACCTTATCTGCGTGTCAGAATTATTTGACCTTAGTCAGAGGTTTTCTAACCTTTAACAAAATGGACAAAATAATAATACTTATGAAATGAAATTGTCCTGCGTGTTTGTTTTTCTAAAAAGTTCAACACAGCAGTGGAAATTAAGTTTATGTCAGTTTTTCAAAATAAGAGCCTCAGACAGGTGTTGTTCTGCAAAAACTTTAAATCTCAATAAGTCATTTTTTTCTTAAAATAGGTGTATTTTGTTCTTGAATTGAGGAGGAAAGTGAGACAGTTTGCCAATGGAACAAGACAATTTATATTCAAAATGAGTTAAAAACGGTGGGGGGCATGCTTTGGTGGCGGAATGGTGAATCCGGCCTCTGGCTCTGGTCCTATATCTGGCACATGCCGCCTTCTCTTACACACTTTCCTGTCTGCCTACTGTTGAAAAAAAACAATTGCATTGTCTTATTTCAAGTATTATCTGATTGTCTTATTTTAAGATTAAAAATACTCATGCCATTGGCAAATAATCGTATTTACCTGCTCGAATTAATTGCAAATACACTTTATTTAAGAAGTTCTTACTTATTTCTAGATCGTTTTTGCAGTGTGTATCTTAAAGCTCATTTAAACTTGCAGACTCCCAACTGTCCCCACTTAGTTTTTGCATATTAGTTAATTTTTCATTTTTCTTTTTCTAATTCTTTAATGCAGCATTTGCTTTAGTTGAGCTATATTTATTTCTCCATATCTGCTAACACTGATTCCTAAGGACTGTTTGAGCTCATTCATTTCTCCTCTATCCTTCTTCCTTTTTAAATGTTTCTCCTTTAACTGAAAAGATTGTCCTTTGTTGTTGTGCTTCAGTAAATAGATCTACACTCGCTTGCTCATGTTGGTGCTCTGATAATATCAAATAAATTCTTACTTCCCCTTTTAGTGTGTGTAGTGTGTAGATTGAAAAAGGAAGAGGCCACCTGCGTTTCTCGATAGGAGCGCATGCAGCTGGAAGAGCTCGGTCAGGAATCTATGGAGGTTTTCAAAGGGTTTTCTGTTCAGCTTCTTAGTTTTCTTCATAAATAACGTTTTATTATGGCCAGTTATCTGCAGTCTCTTTATATGGAGCACTCTGAGAGTGAAGGGTAATGATCAGCAGTGTTCTGAAATACAGGCGGTGATGAAAGAGTTTCAGTGAAGTGACAAAGCTGCTTAACTTCCCTCTTCTGCCTCAGTGCCTCTTTTTAATCTGTGAAAACAAAACTTCTCTGAGTGCACGGCTGCTGCTGTTAGGATCAAAATACATATTTCACTTTTAAACTGACTATCAAGTTTCTCTATACAATGCATGTTATGCATTATAATTTTAGTTGAATTTTTTTTATTTTTTTCAATACGTACATTTAGACTGTTGGCTTACTTGCCGTCCTAATGTATCAATCATTTGTTTATATGGTATAGAAGAAAGCTAAAAAAAAAAGCCTACCAAACATATCCAACTCTTTGTGTATTAAATGCCTCCTAAATCTCCATTTTGCAAAATGATAAATTAGTTTAATATTTTATTAAACTGTGAGATTTTGTTTATGTGTGACATTTAGTTGAGATTCATCCCAGTTCTTAACGTGAGCATCGTTTTTTTTCCTCCTACCTTTCAGGTCACCTGCTGTCCCAGTTTTATTTTGGTCTCCTCTCCATATTTATTTTCACTCCTCAGACGTTCAATAGAGCAGCAACTTCAGAAGGAAAGAGATTCTTACACAAATAAAGCTTGGAGAGAAGCTGAGTTGGATGAGAGTCCAAATAATTGTTCTTTTTAGAAATGCATTTCAGCTCCTGATTTTAATCTTCACGGTGGATTTTAAGTTTTTAGAAGGATTCATATTAGCTGTTTCACAGAGAGGTATTACAGGTCATTAAAAATCATTAAATATGATTTTTTTTTTTTTTTTTATTAAGGCCTTAATTAACACTAAAATTCATTAAATATGATTATCGTAGCATTTGAAATGCTTTATTTAAAAAAAAATAAGATTATAAAAACAATTTCATCAGATATTTTCTATCGCGATATCTTTGCGCGGAACTGCTTCCGGTTGATCGTAAAGCTGTATGTTTAGAAAAGAAGCTCGAGGCAGAGAAAAAGCTCGAGAATGGGGAAAACGCAAATTACAACAAAAGGTGGCTGGAAAACGAGGAATTCGGGACATGGCTGCAGCCTGTCGACGGTAAAGATGACGAAGGATTTTGCCGTGTTTTGTATATATTTATATATATATATCTTAGGGGTGGAACGGTTCACAAAATCCACGGTTCGGTTCACGGTTTCGTGGTCACGGTTTTCGGTTCGGTATATGTTGATTGTTAGCCTGACATGTTGGTCGTGTTGCTGTTAGCATAAACAACACGTGTTGCACAATGCTTGCACACTGTTTTTATCCACAACTTTCTTTCCGCCGTCATCGTAGGTCACTCTAAATGCAAAGCGGTCCCATACAGCAGACCTATAAAGTGCTGCTGGCGCGTCTTCCAACTCCTGTTCTGTCCCACTCGCCATTCCCACACAATTCTCCACAAGAACTGATTTTTTTCTGCTACACCCGGCTACGCTGCTTCGCTTCTTCTTGTTTACTACTGGTGGTTGGTTTTGGTCGCAGTACCGCCACCTTCTGCTCTGGAGTGTAAATGCTTCACCTATGAGAAAAAGGAGCTGCGCATGTACCGAACGAAACACACGCGAATCAAACCGAGATAATCGGACCGAACGGTTGGGACGGTTTTCATAAACCGTTCCATCCCTAATATATCTATATAAAGGGGTCATGGGTACTTGTTAATGGCATTAACATTATTTCTAAGAGCATTGAAAAGCATTAAATTAGAGTTACTCATTCCAGTATAAACCCTGTATTAGAGAGCGTTTCGTTCTTGTAGAGAGTAGTTTAAGTAGAAGAAGTAGCATAAAGAACCAAACTAGGTCTGGTTCTGCTTAACTCTCAACTGGGCACTGTTTATTGGTCGGAAACAAAAAACCACTTTTAATTTCAGGTTTGGTTTGATTTGAACTTAAACGATGTGAAACCCCAAAGCCCACAACTGCAGTTACTTCCTTCCACATTGCTCTGTTTCACTGATCAGAGCGTGGACTTTAATTCTGTTTTTAAAGATTGGACCTGTTTAGATCGTTTAGCTGTTTTTTGTTTTCTCTTTAAATGAAACTAGGTGAAACTAAAAGTATTCCACTTGAGGAGTTCTGGATAGAGCCGATTGACAAATAATAACATTTTAGTTTTTTCTCAAATGCAAAATGTTATATATACTGTATATATATTAAAGAATTTTTTTTTTTTACAATATCACTATAGGTACTGCTCTACGTGGGTTGCTCTGTCAGCTAAAGGCATGTTTTATGGTCTCCATACATTTTTTAGTCTCTGTACTCGAGTTAACGATTAATCGACCTTTTAAACCCATAAGGAAAGGAATCCAATTGCTTCTCTGAGTATTAAACTTAGTTCTCACCTCCCATGTTAAGCTTTATAGTTCTATTAAATTACTCAAAATACCATAATTTTTTCTCTTGGTCCAGGTTTGTTCTCCTCTTGCATCTTTTCATCTAGATGTCCTTGTTCTGACCACTCTGGTTTTGTCTTCTTGTCTCTCTAAGCAAACATCTGAAGTTGAGCTTTTATCTTTTATCACATCTTTATTCTGCACTCAACCATATAAAGCAAAGTTTCTACTTGCAGTGAACCATCAAGGAAACTCCACCTTGCATCTATTGTCGCATAGATCTATGCAAGCAGCTGCAGTGTTGTTATAGAACCAGGTAGTTTAGTGATGATTCAGATGCGTTTTATTATGTCCTATAATACTTTATTTTTCTCGATGTAATGGTTTACCGTGTTATTTAGGAGACTGAGTAGGTCGAGGTGGAAGGTGGAGCAAATATAAGTGTATGGATATTTACTTCTATTCTTATTTGTATGATATTTGTTAGGCTTAATGTTTTAAAATCCTGTGAGATGGATCGGATCAGAGTTGGACAAACCAAACCCTTTTCTGTTGTTGTCATGTACTTCAAAGATTACAGAAATATAAACGGAATGAAGAGCCTCTGGCTCTGCCCTGGTTCCCCTTTAGTCCTTCATCTCTCACACTTTACTCATTTCACAGTTAAGCCCAGTGTGACATTTTGGTTCTGTTTATCAGATGTGTTTCCAGCGTTAGGAAGGAACCAGTGATGGAGCTGCTGTTTTTACCCGGGTTTGGTTTTGTTATTGACCAAAAACTGTGTCGGAACCAAAGGCTTCACTGAACTCATGTGTTTTAATTCCTTGTTTTTGTGCCTTTTAACATTTTCCTGATTGTTTCTTTTTTTTTTTAAACAGTTTGGCTGAATTCTTTCCAGCTTTGCTGTCCTTTTTTTTCACATGCTGCTTTCCTTTTACCGGTAACCTCTCTGTGAATTTACCTTAGATTTGCTTTGTTTCTCTCCTTCTTTGGCCTCTTTTTTTCCTTTTTTTGTCTTCATTCCCTTTAATTTGATATGCCATTCAG